CCCCCAGGCTGGAGTACAATGGCATGATCTCAGCTAATTGCAACCTCCGCCCCCAGGTTTAAGTGATTTTCATCCTTTAGCCTCCTGAATAGCTGGGACTACAGGTGGCCGCCACCATGCCTGGCTAATTTTTGTATTTTTAGTAGAGACGGAGTTTCACCATGTTGGCCAGGCCTGTCTCGAACTGCTGGCCTCAAGTGATCCACCTGCCTTAGCCTCCCAAAGTGCTGGGATTACAGGCATGAGCCACTGGGCCCAGCAAGGAAAAACTCCATTTTGTAATCGCAATTAAATCATCCATTTAAGGAATCATCAATGGCTGCTGGATGATAGTGTCTCACCACCTGGAATCCCAGCACTTTGGGAGGCTGAGGCAGAGGGATCACTTGAGGTCAGGAGTTCAAGACTGGCCTGGCCAACATGGCAAAACCCTGTCTTTACTAAAAATACAAAAATCAGTGGGCGTGGTGGCATGTGCCTATAGTTTCAGCTACTCAGGATGCTGGGACAGGAGAATCACTTGAACTTGGGAAGCGGAGTTTGAAGTGAGCCAAGATCGCGCCACTGCACTCCAGCCTGAGGGACAGAGAAAGACTCTGTCTTAAAAATAAATAAATAATCATCAATGATGTCCAGCAGGGTTGGTTCCTGATGAGGGCTGTCTTTCTGACTTGCAATGGCCACCTTCTTACTATGTCCTCACATGGCAGAGAGAGAGCAAACTCTCTGGTCTCTTAATTTTTTTAATTTAAGACAGTCTCACTCTGTCACCCAGACTGCAGTACAGTAATATGATCATAGCTCACTGCAGCCTTGACCTCCTGGCTCAAGCGATCCTCCCACTTCAGCCTCCTGAGTAGCTGAAACCACAGGAATGCACAACTACACCCAATTAATTTTTTATATTTTGTAAAGACAGAGTCTCAGCATGTTGCCCAGGCTGGTCTGGAACTCCTAGGCTCAAGTGATCCTCCCACCTTGGCCTCCCAAAGTGCTGGGATAACAGGCGTGAGATACCATGCCCAGCCTGGTGTCCCTTTTTATAAGGACACTAATCCTATCAGATCAGGGTCCTACCCTTAAGACGTCATTTAACCTTAATTACTTCCATAAAGGCCCAGTTCCAAATACAGTCACATTAGGGGTTAGAGATCCAACATCTGAATTTGGGAAAGATAAAATTCAATTCATCACAAATGCTAAAACCAGTAGGTGAAAAGTTTTGAAGAACAGCATGTTTGCAACAGTGTGAAAGGAGCCCCACACAGATGATTTGGTATTTGCAAAGAGGATGGCTCTTTTTCAATGAAGAGATCTGGTGGATGCCCCATACCAGTGCTTCCTATGTATGTATATAGCATCACTGTGAATAATTCTTTTTTTTGGCTGGGGACGGTGGCTCACACCTGTAATCCCAGCACTTTGGAAGGCTGAGGCAGGTGAATCACATGAGGTCAGGAGTTCGAGACCAGCCTGGCCAACATGGTGAAACCCCATCTCTACTAAAAATACAAAAAATTAGCCAGGCATGGTGGTGGGTATCTGTAATCCTGGCTACTCAGGAGGCTGAAGCAGGAGAATTGGTTGAACCCAGGAGGCAGACATTGCAGTGAGCTGAGATCACCGCACTCCAGCCTGGGTGACAGAACAAGATTCTGTCTCAAAAAATTAAAAAATGGCCAGGTGCAGTGGCTCACGCCTGTAATCCCAGCACTTTGGGAGGCCGAGGTGGGTGGATCACGAGGTCAAGAGATCGAGACCATCCTGGTCAACATGGTGAAACCCCGTCTCTACTAAAAATACAAAAAAAAATTAGCTGGGCATGGTGGCGCGTGCCTGTAATCCCAGCTACTCAGGAGGCTGAGGCAGGAGAATTGCCTGAACCCAGGAGACGGAGGTTGCGGTGAGCTGAGATAGTGCCATTGCACTCCAGCCTGGGTAACAAGAACGAAACTCCGTCTCAAAAAAAAAATAAATAAATATTAAAAATAAATAAATAAAAGTTGTCATTAAAAAAGGCAGGATTAGAGGATGACTGTTTTGTATTTTAAGGGACTTTAAAGAGACATCACCACCAAATGTAATGTGTAAACCTTGGTTAGATTTTTTTGGTAAAAAGACCCAACTATCACTGTGCATATTAGTTGATGTGTTTTTCCCTCTCCCTCCATGACTTTGGGTTCCACTTGGTTTTGTCACACCTGTAATCCCAGCCCTTTGGGAGGCCAAGGCGGGTGAATCACTAGGTCAGGAGTTCGAGACCAGCCTGGCCAAGATGGTGAAACCTCATCTCTACTAAAACTACATAAAAAATTAGCCAGGCATGGTGGCAGGCGCCTGTAATCCCAGCTACTTAGGAGGCTGACGCAGAAGAATCGCTTGAATCCAGGAGGCAGAGGTTGCAGTGAGCCGAGATTTCACCACTGCAATCCAGCCTGAGCAACAGGATGAGACTCCATCTCAAAAAAAAAAAAGAGAGAGAGAGAAGAAAAAACAAGAATGAAGGAAGGACAAAACTTTGCCTAGAGGACAGGGATGACTTCTCAGAGGATTCTGAAGAACAAACAGGTTGCCCACAGGTTAAATCTCTGATTCAGCCTCCCACTCAGTGGCTCTAGTGCCAGGGATGACACTCATTTTGGGGGAACCCATACAGCAGAACTCTGACCAGCGGGTGGAGTCTTGGGCAAGGAGGATTTCAGCTCAGGAGCAGGAAGAACTACAGCGGTGAGAACAGCTCAGCAGCAGAATAACTGGTCCCAGGAGGTGCCAAGGTGAGCACACAGAGGGGACTCACGTGGACTGACCTCATGCACGGGCCGGGGATGCATCCCCTTTGTGGGGACCCCCACCACAAGTCCCACCACCAAGTTTTGCCCAAAGGCCCTCCCACCTGGCAGCCTCTCTGTCCTCTTTTTTGCCCAGGCTCAGCCTTCAAGACAGAGGTATTTTCTCCCTTCTCTAAGCCCTCAGCACTTCTTGTCTGCACCACCAGGGGTCCTGTGGCACGATGTGCCTTTTAGGGGCAGGCAACTCTGCCTGGGTAAGAAGCAAGGCCTCTGACAGGCTGTGCAAACTTGAGCAAGTGTCTGCCTCTCTCTGGTCCCGTTTCCTTTTTTGTACAAGGACAAGGTGGGACAAGGTGCCACAGGAGGCCTGTTCAACCTTCAAATGTCTTGCTTGGAGTCTGGTCCTCTAGTCCTCTATGGCACTGGGGACTTCTAGGGGACAGGGACAATACTGGCTGAGGGCTGAGGCCCCTGCCAGGACCCCCCAGGAACAGACCCGGCCCATCACCCCGAAGTGTGGAAAGGCTGTAGTGTTACTCTCACCTCCATCTTTGCTAAACGCAGCATGGCTCAAATTTAGGACCCATAAGTTACTGGCTATGTGATCTTAGGCAAATGACTTAACAACTCTGGGCTTTGGTTTCCACACCAATAAAACTGGAATAGTAGTATCTGATTATTGGGATGAGGAACAAAGAAAACAACGGCTTCAAAAGTATCTTGTACATAGCAGGTATACAAAAAGTTGTCAGGAGCCAGGAAGGGAGGTCTGATGAGGAGTTTTGGAATCTCTCCATCACTACCCCAAATTCTAGTCTCTTCATCATCACAAGCTGCTTCATGCAGAGAGAAATACCTTAAATACTGTATGTCTAGATCTAAAGTAACCTGGGACATAGTAGGTGCTAAATACATATTTGTTGAAGGACAGAGTAATCCGATAACCAATATCTTACTTGAGCCTTGAAGCAAACTGGTAAGGGGCAAGACAAAGATACAGTTATCTCTGCTTCAAAGGTGAAGCCACTGCAGCTCAGAGAGGGAAAGTGACTTACCTAAGGTAACACAGCAGAGCAGGGCTCGGAACCCAGTTCCCTCCAGGCGCAGAACCCATAGTTATATCCCCCATCCATGCAGCCACTTTACAGACAGATTGCTAGGCTCTGCCTGCACTCGCTCTCACATAGGAGTATCCTGGGGAAGGTATTCTGCCGAACACACAGCAGGGCAGGGAGGCCAACTTTCCTGTCCCAGGGGCCCCACTCTGCTCCCTGATGCCCCAGAGCCCCTGCTGGGTCATCGTGCTCCTTGGCTGGAGGCAGCTTGGCCTTGGCCTAGTTGCCCTTTTGCCAGCAGACCCACGGAGCCACAGGACAGGCATCTCAGTGCAGCCCGATGGGGAATCTGGGCCAGGTACGGTGTCTGAGCCTGTGGGACTACCTTTCTGGGGCTGACCCACCCCCGGGGCTCACAACAAGTCACCCTGGCAGGTCAGGAGTGTGTCATCCCCCAAGGCCTGGGTACCCCCAACCTTCGGTGACTGCTGCCGTATATATTGTAAGACTCTTACCCTGGGGCTGGGAGGAAGGTTCCTAGAGCAGGTGGACTCTACCTGGCTGGAGTGCCGTGAGGAAGCCAGTGGGGTCATCACACAGCCTCCTCCCACCAAGAGTGCTTACACTCCCCTACACTGATGTCCAGCAGCCATTTGAGCCCTATGAGGACATGAGAACAAGCAGGGACCAGAGTGAGGACCACAGCAGTGCACTCCAGGGAGTCCATCTTTCCCTCAGGGCAGGACAGAGTAGTACAGAGGGGGTGGAGGGTGATGGAAGTGGCGATTTTCACTGGGGGTGGGAGTGAGGGCTGGGGTATTAAAGTGCAGAGCATTAGAATTGGGTGCTGGCATATTTCATGGGGACTGGAGTATTTAAAGTTGGAGCAAAATTTTCAAGTTGAGGCTGGATTTTAAGAGTAGAGTGGAGATTTGCCACAGGGGAGTGGGGCGGAGCTTCGCCGTAAGTGAGTGGCATGGAGTTTTGCTGTAGGGGAGTGGCGTGAAGCTTTACCGTAGGGGAGTGGCGTGGAGATTTGCCGTAAGTCAGTGGCGTGGAGTTTTGCCGTAAGTGAGTGGGGTGGAGCTTTGCCGTAGGGGAGTGGAGTGGAGCTTTGCCGAAGGGGCTGGAGAACTTCCGAGATGATCGGGGTATTGCACAGTGGGAGCTAAAGAGTTTCACAAAGGGCAGGGTTATTTCAGAAGGTGCTGGCATATTACGGGAGTGGGAGAGGACCCAGAGTATTTCAGCGAGATGCTGGAGTCTTCCAGGGTGGCCTAGAATATTTCAGAGGTGAGTGAGCATGGTGTATGGCCTTGGAGGCTGCCCAGGGAGCCCCCTTCAGCCCTGAGTCTGCAGGTCAAGGATCCTGGGGGTCCCTGGGAGTCCAGTCTTCTGCTTTCTCCTGCCCACTAGGGCAGGGCACGACTGAGCTCTCCAGCTCCATCACAGCAGTCCTTCTGCATGTGCCAAAAAGTGACACCAGGGACCATGGCCTTTGGGGCCAATGTCTGCTGTTTCTTCCAAGTCAGTGGCACCAAGGTGCAGCCAGTCCCAAGGCACCCAAGGCGGAGAGTCCTGCCTGAGCTCTGGGGCGTCCAGGTAAGGATCAGGTCAACCTGGCCATCCCTCTGCCTGTGGGCAGGACTCCCTTGCCTCCCCCAGCAGCTCTCTCCCAAGACTGGGACTCCCAGATAAGTAGGGAGCATTCCCAGGCACAGAACCTTCTGCTTCCAGGGTGTCTTTGCAATCTACTTCCATCTCTCCTGGTTTGATGGGAGGCTTGCTTATTTTCAACAGAGTATGGGTGTTCTGTTGGGCTCTGCCTCAGTGGCTCCTGGACCTTCCATAACTTGTGAGATCTGAGGCCCTTGGGGGCCAGGAGTGCTTGATACTAGAAAGGATGTCAGTGGGTGGTGGAGGGAAGAGATAAGTGCTGGTTCTGGGTGGCATCAGCCCCCCAGGGGACAATTCCTGTCCATTACACCAGGCACTGCTTTAGCTACTTACTGGGCTCTCCCTTTGACGAGCACGAGCAGACTATGCCAACTTCACCAGCTGTTGTTCACACCACAACACATTCCACCTTCCCTAGAGTGAGTAGCCCTAGAGGCTAACTTGACATAGGCTAGAACCCCTGACACGCTCCCTTCCAGAGCACCAACCCTGTGCCTCCTGTGTCCACACACTCAGCCACGCCCCAGCTGTGCAATGAGGTGGCACAAGGCTGTGGTTTCTCAGTCAGTGTCAGGTGCCAAGCCAGGACCTCCCCCCAAGATTGGGCTGTGTCCTCATCAGCCTGGAGACTGTCCCCTCACCTGCCAGCTGACTGAGGCTCCCTGGGAGTCAAGACACTCTGGGTGTGAGGGCAGGAAGTAGGGGCTCTCAGTGGTCCCCTAGGCCTTATCAGCACGGGAGGAGGGAATCCAACGTGATTCCTCTGAGACAGCGAGGCCACCTCGGCTTGGCATATGCCCAAGCCTTAGAGTTCCTACCAGAGGAGCAAAAGAAGAAAGGGAGGAGGAAACACCATTTATTGAGCACTTACTGTGTGCCAGATCTTGTCTAGACATTTACACATATTATCTCCCTGTGGTGGAATCACTTTGTTATATAAATAGAGAAACTGAGGCCAGAGAATTCCAGATGCTTGCCCAAGGTTACATAGCTAGTGAATGAGTGAAAAAGCTGGGGTGTGACCCAGAGTCTGTCCGAACTGACTAACATGGCCTCTTCTCCATAACTGAAATGGGCCTCTAGTCGAATCCTGACTCCTCCATCTACTGTCTGGATGACCTTGAACAAGTTGTATAAACTCTTTAAGCCTTAGTCTCCTCATCTGTAATATGGGTATATTAGTAAAAACCCATGTGATGCAATGAATTGGGATGATGCGTCTTAAATGTCTGACATGTAAGTGCACTGTTATTGTTAGACAGTACTAACCTTCGGAGCTCTCATGGAAGAGACATATCCCTGCCACCTGTTTGAGGAAAGATATAAAGCTCTGTTTCCAGGAACCCCCAGTCTGAAGGAGAGACCACTTTGCTTAACATCACCAGGGCCAGGAGAAGGGGAAGGGCAGGATGGAGTGGGCCACAAGCTAGAGAAAATTGGTCTCTAGCACCTGAGACTGGTTAGTTTTAAAAGATGCTCTTGTAGGGTCAATTTCATTGTCTTTTTTTTTTCTTTTTTTTTTTTGAGGCGGAGTCTCATTCTGTCCCCCAGGCTGGAGTGCGGTGGTATGATCCTGGCTCACTGCAACTTCCGCCTCCTGGATTCAAGCAATTCTTGTGCCTCAGCCTCCTGAGCAGGCGCCAACCACCAGGCCTGGCTAATTTTTGTATTTTTAGTAGAGACAGGGTTTCACCATGTTGGCCAGGCTGGCCTCGAGCTCCTGACCTCAAGTGATCTGCCTGCCTCAGCCTCCCAAAGTGCTGGGATTATAGGCATGAACCATTGTGCCTGGCCCATTGTCCCTGTTTTTACAGATGGGGAAACTGAGGTCCAGAGAGGTCCAAGAATATAGTGACTCAATGAGCAGGCCAAGGCCCTGCTCCAGGCATTCAGTCCCCTCTGGCTCAGGTGGGAGCAGATGTAATATCCCGGGTGCTCCTGTGCCCCACCCCAAGATATATTCTGCACGAAACTGAAACTCTTCAGCTTAGGTGCACCACCGTGTGCCAGGAACCCCATGCCAGACTTCATGGAACATGAAGGACCTAGTCCTCAGCCTCCCACTGTGTTATATGGATAGAGAAACTGAGGAGCACTCCCACCACTAGCATGGGAGGAGTTATAACAGCAAGGAGTACCTGGAGCTGCACAGGGAGAACTTCCTCCTCATCCTTAGGTGGGTCAGGGCTGGCATGGCTCCCACACAGGGCATAGCACCTTTGACTTTGTCATCTGCCCTCTTCTGCATCCTCTTTTTTTTTTTTTTTTTTTTTTTTAGAGATGGGGTTTCACCATGTTGGCCAGGATGGTCTTGACCTTGTGATACACCCACTTCAGCCTCCCAAAATGCTGGGATTACAGGCTTGCGCCACCACACCCGGCCCTCTCTTCTGCATCCTCATGGCCACCCTGCCACCTGATGAGATCATCTCCACTCCACTATTCAGAGGAGGAAACTGAGGTTCAGAGTGACAGAAGGCTTGCCCAAGGTCATACCAGGAGAATTCCGCAGAGGCAAGACTGGAAAGCAGGCTGGCTGGTTCAACTCCAAGTCCTCAGTCCTGCCCTGTCTTATTTTTAGGCATGAGTCCGCATCTCAACTCCTGCGTTCTCCCTGGCAGGACTAAAGAGGGCAAGCCTTCTGTAAGGCCACCCAGCAGAGCAGCAGACAGGTGGGCTCCCAGCCCTACCTTGTCCCCCAAATACTCTGTTGTTTGGACTTTTTTTTTTTTTAAGAGACAAGGTGTTTATCACCCAGGCTGGAGTACAATAGCATGATCCTAGCTCTTGCAGCCTTGAACCTCTGAGCTCAAATGATCCCCCTGCCTCAGTCTCCTTAGTAGCTAGGACTACAGGTTTGCACCACCACATGCAGCGAATCTTTAATTTTTTTGTAGAGACAGGGTCTTGCTATGCTGCCCAGACTGGTCTTGAACTCCCGGCCTCCAGCAATCCTCCCACCTTGGCCTCCCAAAATACTAGGATTACAGGTGTGAGCTTGGCCTGCACTTTATGTTTCCAGATCTGCCTTTCCCACTGGATCCTTGAGGGCCTGGCCCAGAGATGGCAGCTCTCAGCATTTGCTGATGGAATTGAAAAATAACATGTTTATTGAATATTTATAATAAGCCAAGTATATGCTAAGGGTTTTGTATACATAAGCTCATTTAATCTTCACAATGACCACGTAAGTACTATTATCTTTGATTTTTTTTTAGATGGAATCTCATTCTGTCGCCCAGGCTGGTCTCGGCTCACTGCAACCTCCGCCTCCCGGATTTAAGCAATTCTCCTGCCTCAGCCTCTTAAGTGGCTGGGATTACAGACGCCTGCCCCTATGCCTGGCTAAGTTTTGTATTTTTAGTAGAGATGGGATTTTACCATGTTGGCCAAGCTGATTTCAAACTCCTGACCTTGTGATCTGCCCACCGCCACCTCCCAAAGTGCTGGAATTACAGGCAAGAGCCACCGCACCCGGCCTATACCCGTTTACAGACAGAGAAAGCAAGACTTAGAGAAGATAAGAGCGGGGTGCCTAGTACAGTTGGTGCTTCTGATTCTCATTCTGAACTGACTGACTGAATGGATGGATAAATTAAGAAGAGAGAGGTGGGAGTGAGGTGGTCAAGGTTAAGGTGCCAACCTCACCTCTCATCCGGGTTCAATCATGCCCACAACCATGCCCACCATCTTGTCCCTGGCTCCCAACCACCTGAGGGACCACAGTCCTTGGGAGCTGGCCACTCTGCTGGGTGTGCTGAAATCCTCTAAGATGAATAAAGAGAAACCTTTCCTGCCAAGCAGCTGACAAGTTTGGTTCTGCCTGAGAATTGAGACTGCAGACTCCGTGGGGAGGGTTCACCCCCAAACGCCTAAGAGCTACCAAAAGATTACAGGTAAAAAATTAGCCCAGCTGCTTTCTCAGAGGCCCTAGGGAAATAAGGGAAGCTCGTTCTTTATTACAGCAAGAATTATTTCAGTTAGACTGCAGAAGGACTTGACAGAGAAGGGGAACAAACCAGATAGGGAATTCCTTATCGAATCATGGAAATGATACATGTGGTCCCTGTAGGCAGCTTTATAGGGTAAGCTTTGGAAAAGGAGGGAGGCTGAGTGAGTAGGAACCACGGTTCCCACAGTTCCTGCACAGGGGAACCATTGTCTAATGGAGGGGACATGTCATATCCCCCGGTCAAGAGCCAAATGAAAAGGCCACATGGAAAGGAGAGGGGGAGGGCACCCTGATAAAAGGAGTCCATGTGGTCACATGGGAGCTATTCCTGGAGGAGCAGGGGTGAGAGGAGTGTGAAGGTGTCCCAGGGAAGAAGTCGAGTTTATCAAACCTCTGCTGAGACCCAGAACCATGCTAATGAGCACTTTACATATGGTGTCACATTTCATCCATTCATTCAACAAATATTTACTCAATGTGCCAGGCCCTGTGCTAGGGCTTGAGGAGAGAGCTGTGAACAAGGCAGATCCAGGCTCCCCTCTTGGAACTTAGAAGTGGAGGAGACAGTCAACAGATGTGTGATGTCAGGGGTGATGCTTGCTTTGAAGGGAAGAAAGCAAGGAGGGGCTAGAATGTTGGCAATCAGGGGTCAGGGCTGAATAAGAGAAAAAACATTTTTTTTTAAGTGAAAGAAGGCCTCTCTGCAGAGGTGACATTTAGCAGTGACCTGAATGAAGTGAGGGAACCTTGAGCGCAAAGGCCCCAGGCAAGAGTCTGCCTGGGAGGCCTGAGCAAGGGGAACCGAGAGATGTGCTCTTGCTGGTGGACCTTGTCCGCTACAGGAAGGATGTTTGATTTTATTATCAATGTGATGGGCTGAGTAATATGGTTTATGTTTTAAAATAATTTTTAATTTAGTTTTTGAATAGATAATACATCCGTATGGTTCAAAAAGAAAAACATATTTTAAAACCCTGTAAAGTGTAACGGCTCTGCCAGCCTCACTCCTATCTCCGTCCCTCATCTCCTTATTTCTTCCCTTCTGCCAACCACATTCGTGAGTTTTTTGGTTGTCTTCCTTCCAAGATTTCTTTAGGCAAATACAAGCATATATTCACTTAATATTTATATAATACTTACTATGTGCTGGACCTTCTTATAAATTCTTTAAGAGATTATTAACTCATTTAATCTTTATAACCCAATCCTAGGAGGTAATTTTTTTTTTTGTTTCGAGACAGAGTCTTGCTTTGTTGCCCAGGCTGGAGTGCAGTGGAGTGATCTCAGCTCACTGCAACCACTGCCTCCCAGGTTCAAGCGATTCTCCTGCCTCAGCCTCCCAAGCAGCTGGGACTAAGGGGCACCCCACCATGCCTGGCCAATTTTTGTATTTTTAGTAGAGATGAGGTTTTACCATGTTGGCCAGGCTGGTCTTGAACTCCTGACCTCAGGTGATCCACCTGCCTCAGCCTCCCAAAGTGCTGGGATTGCAGGTGTGTGCCACCATGCCCAGCCTCTTTTTTTTTTTTTTGAGACAGGGTCTCGCTCTGTTGCCCAGGCTGGAGTGTGGTCACAAGCTCACAGCTCACTGCAGCCTCAACCTCCTGGGCTGAAGCGATTTTCCCACCTCATTCTCCCAAGTAGTGGGACTACAGGTGTGTACCACTACTCCCGGCTAACTTTTGTATTTTATTTTATTTTTTGTAGAACCCCTAGCCATGTTGCCCAGGCTGGTCTCAAACTTTTGAGTTCAAGTGATCCTCCTGCCTCAGCCTCCCGAGGTGCTGGGATTACAAATGTGAGCCACTGTGCCAGCCAGCTAAGTACAGTGCTCCCTATTTTACAGATAAGGAATCTAGAACACAGAGAGATGAACTAACCTGGCCAGGGTTGCACAGCTTCTAAGGAGCCATGTTAGTTCCTAGGGCTGCCATGACAAACTGAATGGCTTAAGACAACAGAATTGATTCTCTCACAGTTCTAGAGGTGAGAAGTCCAAAAGCCAGGTATTGGCAGGGCTCATGCCTTCTAGGGGCTCCAGAATCTGTTCCAGGCTTCTCTCCCAGCTCCGGGTGTTGCTGGGAATCCTCAGCATTCCTTGGTTTGTAGATGGTTCACTCCAATCGGCTGTGTCTTCACATGGCATTCTCCATCATCTCTGTCTCTGTGTCCACATTTTCTTTCTCTTATAAGGACACCAGTCATATTGGATTTAGGCCCACGCTGATCAGGAATGACCTCATCTTAACTTGATTATGTCGGCAAATACCTTATGCTCAAATAAGGTCACATTCACAGGTTCTGGTGGGCATGAATTTGGTAGGACACTATTTAACCCAGTACAGTAGCAGAACTTGCATCTGAACTCAGGCAGACCAGCTTCTGAGTGTGTGCTCTTAGTCACAGGTTATATGGTTATACTGCCACTCAGTAAGAATATATATAATTTATTATAGATTCATATAATATATATAACATACAACATTATTATACATATTATAAGAGATATATATAATTTCCCTTTTCCTACAAAAGGTAAAATATCATACTTGCTGCTCTATACCTTGCTTTTTAAATTTTTACTTATTTTTGTGACTGAGTCTTGCTCTGTCACCTAAGTTGGAGTGCTGTGCAACCTCTGCCTCCCAGGCTCAAGCACTCCTCCCACCTCAGTCTCCCAAGTAGCTGGGACTAAAGGCACATGGCACTACACCTGGCTAATTTTTGTATTTTTTGTAGAAATGCAGTTTTGCTGTGTTGCCCAGGTTGGTCTTGAACTCTTGAGCTCAAGTGATCCGCCCACCTCAACCTCCTAAAATGCTGGGATTACAGGCATAAGCCACCGCACCCTGCACCTTGCTTTTTAAAACTTAGTATCTTTTTTTTTTTTTTGAGACAGAGTCTTGCTCTATTGCTCAGGCTGGAGTGTAGTGGTGCACTCTTGGCTCACTGCAGCCTCCACCTCCCAAGTTCAAGCGACTCTCCTGCTTCAGCCTCCCAAGTAGCTGGGACTACAGGTGTGCACCATCACACCTGGCTATTTTTTGTATTTTTAGTAGAGATAGGGTTTTACCACTTTGGCCAGGCTGGTCTCAAACTCCTGACTGCAAGTGATCCGCCTCAGCCTCCCAAAGTGCTGGGATTACAGGTGTGAGCCACCATGCCTGGCCAAACTTAGTATCCTTTATTTTATTTATTTTTTGAAATGGAGTTTCGCTCTTGTTGCCCAGGGTGGAGTGCAATGGTGCGACCTTGGCTCACTGCAACCTCTGCCTCCTGGATTCAAGCGATTCTCCTGCGTCAGGCTCCCAAGTAGCTAGGACTACAGGCACACACCACCATGTCCGGCTAATTTTGTATTTTTAGTAGAGACAGGGTTTCTCCATGTTGGTCACGCTGGTCTCAAACTCCCGACCTCAGGTGATCTGCCCACCTCGGCCTCCCAAAGTGCTGGGATTACAGGTGTGAGCCACCACACCTGGCCCTTAGTTTTTATAAAACTTTCCCTATTAGAACACACAGATCACCGTTTCTGGTGGCAGGGTCTGGGAAAGGGGCATCAGGTGCCATGTCCAGCCTCGAAGGTGGCAAGAAGCCCCTGAAACAGCCCAAGAAGCAGGCCAAGGAGATGGACGAGGACAATAAGGCTTTCAAGCAGAAGCAAAAAGAAGAGCAGAAGAAACTCAAGGAACTAAAAGCGAAGGTCATGGGAAGGGCCATGGTGGAATTAAGAAATCTGGAAAAAGTAAGCTATTCCTTTTCCCTGAGGAGTTGGTGACTTTTTATTTCATCCGTATTTAAACACCTGTATTCCCTGCCATAACATCTTTTGCCACCTATAGCTGGATTAAGTGTTGGAGCTATTGCACATTTAAGAATAAACTTTGTAAAAAAAAAAAAAAAAAGAACACACAGATCTCCCTGACTCCCTGATTCTTTTTCATAGCCACATAGTATTCCATTTTATGGGTGGATTGTGTTCTACCTAATCTAGCCCCTTACTAATGGACAGTTGAGTTGTTTCCAATCTTTGGCAATTACAAACAGTGCTGCTGAGAATAACTTTAAACATACATGATTTATTACTCATGCAAGTCTATCTGAAGCATAAATTCCCAGAAATACGTTATCTGAATGCATTTTGATAGATTTCGCCAAAATGCCCTTTTACCAATTTATATTCACATGTGTGAGAGTCATGTGTGAGAGCACACATGTAAGAGTAGTACTATTTCCTCATAGACATGGTCACAGGGCCGGGCGAGGTGGCTCATGTCTGTGATCCCAGCGCTTTGGGAGGCTTAGGCAGGCGGATCACAAAATCAGGAGACTGAGACCATCCTGGCCAACATGGTGAAACCCCACCCATCTTTACTAAAAATACAAAAATTAGTTGAGTGTGGCAGTGCATGCCTGTAACCCCAGCTACTTGGGAGGCTGAGGCGGGAGAATTGCTTGAACCCAGGAGTCAGAGGTTGCGGTGAGCTGAGATCTCACCACTGTATTCTAGCCTAGAAACAGAGCAAGACTCAGTCTCAAAAAAAAAAAAAAAAAAAAAGGAAAAAAAGAAATTGCCCACAGAATATGTTATTCAACTTTGTCATTGCTTTTTTTTTTTGTAGCCAGACTGATAAGACATCTTAATCCGTTTTGTGCTGCTATAATAAAATCCCACAGAATGGAATAATAGTCATAAACAGAAATGTATTGGCTCACAGTTTTGAGGCTGGGAATTCCAAGATTGTGGGGCCCACATCTGGCATGGACCCTCTTGCTGGGTCGTCCTATGGTGGAAGGGCAAAGAGAGTGTGAGAGAGAGGAAGAGGGAACTGAACTTGCCCTTTTATAATGAACCTGTTTCCAAAATAATAAACCCACGCCTGCTGTAACAGCACCACCAACCCATTCATGAGGTGGAACCCTCACGACCTAAACACCTCTCTTAGGCCCAGCCTCCCAACACTGCTGCATTGGGATTAAGTTTCTAGCACCTGCTTTTCTGGGCATAATGTTCAAACTGTAGCAATATCCTAGTCTAGTTTTTCTGGTTTGCATTTCTTTTGAGTTTGAGCTTCTCTTCTTGTATTCAAGAGTCTTTGGATTTGCTTTTCTGGGAACTGTCAGTTCATATGCTAGGCCTCTGTTTCTATAAGATTGCTGGTCCTTTTAATCAATTTCTAGGAATTCTTTCTAAATGAGTGAGATGTTCCCTTGTCTGTGATCAGAGTTGCAAATATTTCCCCCCAGTTTGTCATTTGTCTTATGCGTTGGTTTATAGTGTTTTTCCATGCAGAAGTTTCTGATTTTTATATAGTTGACTTTATCAATCTTTTTTACAACTTTTTGATTTTTGAATCATGGTTAAACTTTCCCCACTATGAGATTATAAGTTCCCCCATGTTTTCCTCTAGTGCCTTTATGGTTTTATTTTAATTTTTCTAAAATTTAAATTTTTTTTTTTTTTTGAGATAGAGTCTCACTCTGTAGTCTAGGCTGGAATGCAGTGGCGTAATCTTGGCTCACTGCAACCACCGTCTTCCAGGTCCTGGTTCAAGCAATTCTCCTGCCTCAGCCTCCCGAGTAGCTGGAATTACAGGCACACACCACCATGCCCAGTTAATTTTTTTTTTTTTTTTGAGACAGAGTCTTGCTCTGTCACCCAGGCTAGAGTGCAGTGAGTGGCGTGATCTTGGCTCACTGCAACCTCCGCCTCCCAGGTTCAAGCAATTCTCTGCCTCAGCCTCCCAATTAGCTGGGATTACAGGTGCCTGCCACCATACCTGGCTAATTATTTTCGTATTTTTAGTAGAGACAGGGTTTCACCATGTTAGCCAGCCTGGTCTTGAACTCCTGACCTCATGTGATCCACCCACCTCGGCCTCCCAAAGTACTGGAATTACAGGCATGAGCCACAGCACCCGGCCTAAAATTTAAATCTTTTATCCCACCTGGAGCTCATCCAGGTGTTCAGTGTGGGCCACAGATCTAATTTTTTTTCCCTAGTTGGCTATCGAGGTGTCCCAACACCACTTATTAAAGAGTCCATTTTCCACTTTGAGAGGCCACCTTTATCAAATACTAAATTCCCGTGTGCAATTAGGTCTATTCCTGGACTTACTATTCTAGTCCATTGGTCTATTTGTCTGTTCCTGAACCAAACCAAGTTGTTTTAATTATTATTTTTGTTTTGTTTTGTTTGAGACTGAATCACACTCTGTCACCCAGATTGGAGTGCAGTGGTGTAATCTCGGCTCACTGCAATTTCCGCCTCCCGGGTTCAAGCAATTCTTCTGCTTCAGCCTCCCGAGTAGCTGGGGTTACAGGTGCCCTCCATCACGCCTGGCTAATTTTTGTATTTTTAGTAGATACGGGGTTTAACCATGTTGGCCAGGCTCATTTTGAACTACTGACCTCAAGTGATCCACCCGCCTCAGCATCCCAAAGTGCTGGATTAAGGTGTGAGCCACTGTGCCGGCCCTAAATTGTTTTAATTTTTGAGGCTTTACATATTTTATAGTAGTCGGGTGAGTGTTACCTTTTCTTTTTCAGAATTTTTCTAGCATTCTTTTTCTTTCTCTTTCTGTCCTTTGTTGTTTGTTTTCAGGGGTGGGGAACCTCAGGAGACCTCTTGTAGGGGAAAAGAAAATCAATAATTACATGTCATTTGGTAGTGGCTAAGAAAAAAAAATTAAGCGGTAAAAGAACAGAAGGCAACTAAGGAGTAATATTTGGATGGGAAGCAAGGGAAGGCCCCTGGAGGAGGGGGAGATACCTGAGTGAAGGGAGGGAGACCACGTGGCTACTTGGGGGGAAAACAGGCCTGGCAGAACCAAGGGCGAATGCAGAGGCCTGAGGCAGGAGCATGCCTGGCATGTAGAAAACAGCAAGGCAGCCAGTGTAGCTGGAAGGGAGTGACCAGAGCAGAGAGTGGGAGGCGGTGAGGTAGATCATGCAGGGCCTTGTAGGTCACAGCAAGGACACCGGCTTTTCCTCTGACACCAGGAGCCATGGGGGTGGGAGTTGAGCAGAAGAGTGACATGTTCTGACTCCCGTTTTAACAGGATCACTCAGATTACTGCGTGGAGCACAGACTGCCGGGGTGAGGGCCGCGGCAGAGAGGGCAATAGGATTTGGGATGGGTGAATATATCGTAACTTGGTTTCCTTGTCCATTTTCCCCTACCTAACTTTGCAAGGACAGGCCCTGAGCTTATTCAGCTCTATGAGTGAAGTGCCAGGCCCAGAGTAGGTGCAGATAAACACTGTGTGAGGAAGAAGTGTGGGAGGACAGAGGAGATAGAAGGAGGCAGGAGACGCAGAACCCCTGGGAAATGGCTCTTCAAAGGCCACAGAAAGAAGAGGAAGCAGACATGATGACAGAGCCTGTTCCCCAGCAGGAACCCAGGCTGATAGGGGCTGAAGCTGGGGAGCTGGGCCCCCAGCCCAATGCCTGCCCAATCCCAGATCTGTGGCCTTCATCAGCAATCAGGTTATGTGCAGTTTATGCTGGAGTTCTGCCACCAAAGGGACCCTGGCGGGCATGGGGGGCGGGCTCTATTCCTCAAGGTGCAGGTGCAAAGGTGAGATCGCCTGGCAGAGAGGAGAGCAGCTTTCCTGAATCCTGGCACACAGAGGCCCTGAGAAAGGACAATTCGCCCCCTTTATAGACGGTAAGTTGAGGCTCCATGAAGGAAAGGAACTGACCAAAGATGATATAGCGAATAGGTGGCCCGGCCTAGTTTCAGGGGCTTGGCCTCTACAGGACACCTCCTTGGCCACTGCCTAATTTGGTCTGGGTCCCGCTGCAGTTTTGAGGAGTGACCAAGTACAGAAGGAAGGGATGACTCCTGGTGTTCAGCCAGCTCTTGGCTGCTGCCAAAGCACAGCTGGTGAGTCCTCACTGTGGGCGGGACCCAGCTTGGGGAACAAAAGCCACAGGACTCTTCAGGACCTCAGGAGGCTTAGGAAAGAATTGGCCTGGAAGTAGGGCAGGTAGATGAGAGGCACCAAGCTGAGGGGCAGAGGAAAGAGGTCAGGCAGGCCTGGCTTTGCCACTGTCTTGCTGTGCTATCTTAGGTAACTAGCACTCAGTTTGTGCATCTGTAAAATGGGAATAGCAACTCCTGCTTTACAGGGCTGGCATGGGGTTGAATGCGGTAGTAGACATCCAGTGCTACCTGAAGGCGCTTCCTTCTTAGCCTCTTCACTCACAGATTGGGGACCTGTTGTCTCTGTCTTCAGCAGATGCTGATAAGCTGCTCCTGGGCAAAGGGGAAATGGATTGTGATGACGTCTCAAGTCCCAGACCTTCAAATGGACCCAGGCTGTGGGGGATCTGGCCAGTGCCGACACTTAGTGGTTCTTTCAGGGCCAGGTGAGCCCGCACATGCCCTCAGGACAGTTGAGCAGGTCTGGGCTCTGCACCAAGTACCTCAGGCAAGGTAATCACTCTCCCTGGGCCTCAGCTCCGGGAAATCTCTTGGGCAGTGGTTGGGGTGGGCAGGAATTAGAGGCCTTCTAATTGCAAATGGAGTGGGCTGCTTCAAGAGTAGTTAGCTCCCTGCCTCTGGAGGTACGTAAGCAGGGACTGGGCAAGCACTGGGTAGAGATTCACTCACTCATTAAGTCAATAAACTCCTATTGAGACTCTTTTTTGGGCCAGGGCCTGTGGCCATCATTGTCATTAGAAGATATAGTGACAAGGCATCTTTACCCTCCTGTAGCTTACATTTTTTTTTTTCAGATGGAGTCTTACTCTGTCGCCCAGGCTGGAATGCAGTGGTGCAATCTCAGCTCACTGTAACCTCTGCCTCCCAGATTCAAGCCATTCTCCCTCCTTCAGCCTCCAGAGCAGCTAGGATTACAGGTGCCCAGCACCACGACCAGCTAATTTTTTTTTTTTTTTGAGACAAAATGTGTCTCTCTGTCACCCAGGCTGGAGTGCAGTGGCGCAATCTCAGCTCACTGCAACCCCTGACTCCCTGATTCAAGGGATTCTCCTGCCTCAGCTTCCCAAGTAGCTAGGATTACAGGCATGCACCACCATGCTCAGCTGATTTTTGTATTTTTAGTAGCAATGGCGTTTCACAATGTTGGCCAGGATGGTCTTGATCTCCTGACCTTGTGATCAGCCCGCCTCAGCCTCCCAATGTGCTGGGATTACAGGCATGAGCCACCACACTTGGCCTTTTTTTTTTTTTTAAAGATGGAGTCTTGCTCTATTGCCCAGGCTGGACTGCAGTGGCACCATCTTGGCTTACTGCAACCTCTGCCTCCTGGGTTCAGGTGATTCTTCTGCCTCAGCCTCCCGAGTAGCTAGGATTACAGGCATGTGACACCACACCCGGCTAATTTTTTTGTGTTTTTAGTAGAGACAGGGTTTCAGCATCTTGGCCAGGCTGGTCTCGAACTCCTAACTTTGTGATCTGACCGCCTCGGCCTCCCAAAGTGCTGAGATTAGAGGCGTGAGTCACCGTACCTGGACTGGCTAGAGTTCAAAGGCTTGATCTTGGCTTAACTGCAGCCTCAACCTCCTATACACAAGTGATCCTCTGGCCTCAGCCTCCCAATTAGCTGGGACTACAGGTGCATGCCGCTATGCCCAGGTAATTTTTAAAAATTTTTAGACCGGGCGCGGTGGCTCAAGCCTGTAATCCCAGCACTTTGGGAGGCTGAGGCGGGTGGATCACGAGGTCAAGAGATCGAGACCATCCCGGTCAACATGGTGAAACCCTGTCTCTACTAAAAATACAAAAAAATTAGCTGGGCATGGTGGTGTGTGCCTGTAATCCCAGCAACTCAGGAGGCTGAGGCAGGAGAATTGCCTGAACCCAGGAGACGGAGGTTGCGGTGAGCCGAGATCGCGCCATTGCACTCCAGCCTAGGTAACAAGAGGGAAACTCTGTCTCAAAAAAAAAAAAAAAAAAAATTTTAAGTAGAGGCTGGGCCTGGCAGCTCAAGCCTGTAATCCCAGCACTTTGGGAGGCCGAGGCTGGGGGATCACCTAGATCAGGAGTTTGAGACCAGCCTGACCAACATGGTGAAATCCGGTTTCTACTAAAAAAATACAAAATTAGCTGGGAGTGATGGTGCATGCCTGTAATCCCAGCTACCAGGGAGGCTGAGGCAGAAGAATTGCTTGAACCCAGGAGGCGGAGGTTGCAGTGAGATGAGATCGCACCATTGCACTCCCATCTGGGCAACAAGAGTGAAACTTCCAAAACTCAGTCTCAAAAAAAAATTTTTTTTTAGTAGAGATGGGGTCTCGCTATGTTGCCCAGGGTGGTCTTGAACTCCTGGCCTCAAGCAATCATCTCACCTTGGCCTCCCTAAATGCTGAGATTACAGGTGTGAGCCACCACTGCCAACCTATAACTTACATTATAATGGGGAGATATTAAATAGTGCCAGGAAAGTGTGTGCTCCATACTGTAGGGGCTGGTCATGAAAACTCCAACCTCCTACCCCTATATAAAGTGACTTCTAAACTGAGATTTTTTTTTTCTTTTTTTTGAAATTGAGTCTCTGTCACCTCTCTGTCTCCCAGGTTCCAGCGATTCTCCTGCCTCAGCCTCCTGAGTAGCTGGGACTGCAGGTGCATACCACCATGCTCAGATAATTTTTATATTTTTAGTAGAGATGAGGTTTTGCCATGTTGGCCAGGCTGGTCTTGAACTCCTGACCTCAGGTGATTCGCCCACCTTGGCTTCCCAAAGTGCTGGGATTATAGGCGTGAGCCACTACGTCCAGCCCTAAACTGAGATTTGAAGAACAAATACAAGTTAAGTAGGAAAGGGAAGGGTGTTTGGGTCTGAGAACAACAGGTGCAAAGGCTCAGAGGCGAGAGAGAGAGAGAGAGAGAGAGAGAGAGAGAGAGAGAGAGAGAGAGAGGGAGGGAGGGAGGGAGGGAGGAGAGAGAGAGAGAGAGAGAGAGAGAGAGAGAGAGAGAGAGGCAAGGAGGGGAGTGGCTGCACTGAGTGAGGTCAGCAGTCACTCACCAGTTAACTGAACTGGACCCACCTTAGGCGTAAGGATCCAGCCACTCCCATAATGGTCAGGGATGAGGAGTTAGCCAGGTAAAAGGTGAGAGGATGGGTCAGGGAAGAAGTGATCCCAGCAGTGGTTTGTGTCACTGGGCAAGAAGAAAGACAGCTCAAAGTTGAGTCGGGCTAGAGCCTGGCTGGGAGCTTGGCTGAGAAGAGAGACCTAGGTATTGTAGCCTGTGGGTCTTGCCAAGTGGCCTCAGGGCCATACGGAGTCACTGAAGGGTTTTGTGCAGAGGAGTGACTCACCCTCGGTAGGAACACGTAGGAAGGTTGTCCTGGGATGCCCTTTAAAGTCCCAGCGGACCGAAACCTCAGAGCCTCTGGGCGTGGGGGCGGGGCTCAACCATCTTAGGCACAACCTCATTCCAGCCATCAGGGAGGATGACGAAACTCACTTGTCAGAGGAACCTTAGAGAAGTCAAGAGACCAGGCTAGAGGGCTCTGAGCTGTGGGGTGGGAAGCGTGGGGAAAGAAGAGGGTGAGGGCTCAGGGAAGGAAAGTGAGAGCCCGGACACCAGGAGGCGGTGCCTGCTCTTAGCTTGCCTCTAACTCCCGTGGTTCAAGAAGGCCTGGCTCCCAGGACCCTGGGGCTAGAAAGACAATTGACTCATCCTAGGAAGCGGGGAGCCAGGCCCCCGAGGTTAAGAGGTTAAGTGAAATTGCTCTAAGCCACAGAGCACATCAGTGGCAGGGTCAGGAAGAAACTAGTAACCCTGGAGCACCTAGCACCAGCACCCCCAGTGCAGGGTGCTTCATACCTTGCATCATCTCATGCAGGTGTCGCTTCATTTTACAGACAAGCGGACTAACGTCCAGGAGGCACAGACCCTGTTCTGGGTCACACAGAGTTAGGGCTAGGAAACCAGGTTTGCAGGCGCCTAGCTTCCCGCAGCATCTTTGGTATATTTTTAGTAGAGATGAGGTTTTGCCATGTTGGCCAGGCTGGTCAACATGAGTTAGGGGTAGTGGGTAGGAGAAGAGAGTGTCAAGGAGGTTGAGGGGAAGGGTGGGGCTGTGTTTCTGGGACTTTCCTGGCTGAGGTCACAGGCCCCGAAATAGCCGCGCAGCAGAGAGCGCCCGGAGGCTCGGTCGCACCCTGTACCCTGCCCGCCGCGGGGAGCGGTCCAGCCGCAGCGCACGTGCTCCCCCAGTCCCACTGCCCCTCAGAACCGCGCGAGCCTAGCGAACCGCTCGGTGCCCAGTCTTCGCCTCCCCGGCCTCATGAACGTGACCCGGGCGACCCCAACGCGCGGATGCCCGTGCGGCCGCCCCATCGCCCCACAGCCTTCTGCGCGGACACCCGGCCTCCCCTTGCGCCCGCTGCGGCCACCACCTCCACTCAGACAGCGGCGGCGGTGGGTGTGGCAACGCGCTTGCCAATCAGGAAGTGGGGGGCCGGCTCCAGACACGCCCCTCTGTGACGTCACTCAACCAGCCCCGGATGCCCCGCCCAGTGGCCTCGCCTGGGAAAGGCGACGGGGGCACCGGTGGGTGCGGGCCCTCGAAGGGTGAAAATAACGCCCATGTGAATTGCGCGCATTATAACTGCCCTAAGAAAGGTAGCCAGAGCACTTTAAAGTGTATTTATTCAATCACTCCTCTTCCAGGCATTCATCCGTCCGTCTGTATGTATGTCTATCCACTCAGCCAAAGTAATTGGGCGCCTCCTGTGTGCCAGGTGCTGTGCTGGGTTCTGGCTATAAAGAAAGATGAACCCTGTGCTTGTCCTCATAATCTAGGGTGGAAGCCTGATGGTGACAAATGCTCACGCCATCGTTTTAATTGCAGCCATGATGAATTCTGGGATGGTGAGATACAGGCTGCTGCAATAACCAGGAGTCTAATTTGGATTGGTGCTCAGGTCCCTGGAGAAGTTACATCGAGCCGACTCCTGAAGCAACAAGTGTTCCAGGCAGAGGGAAGAGGTGGTGCAAAGGCATTGAGGTTACAGGCTGGAAGAGAAGGGAAAGGAAACTGAGTGAGATGAAGCTCTGGAGGTTTAGGGGAGCAAATTATTTAAGACCTTGGAGGCCATAGTAAGGCAATAGAATTTTCTTTTAAGTGCTATGGGCAGCCACTGGGTACTCAGTGTTTTAGAATCTTCCTACCTCTGTGTGGAAAATAGACAGGAGTGGACACAGGAATAAGAGTGGACCCAGGATGGAAGGTAGTAAGCTAGATGAGAGGGAAGCTACTGTGAGTGAGACATGAACAGACTCAATAAATAATTAGAAGATACAATCCACAGGCTGGCGGGTTGATGGATTGAATGTGGGGTGGGTGAGGCAGAGGGAGTTAAGATTAAGTCATTCATTCATTGGACAATTATTTATTGAGCCCCTCTGGATGCCAGGCACTGTTCTACAGAGGCAGACTCTCCGGGTTCAGATCTTTGTCCCATCACTTGCTAGCTGTTTGCCTCAGGGAAGTTATTTAACCTCTCTGTACCTTGATTTCTTCATCTGTAAAATGCAAATCCTAAGAACACCCAAGAGAATTATTGTAAGGATGAAAAGAGTAAATATATGTAAAACTTTGGACTTGGGTGTTTGGAGCTGGGTTCTGAGGCTGGAGACTTAGACTTGGGCACTTGAGGTTGGTGTCTTGGGCCTATTTCTTGGAGTAACCAAGGCTCCATTTCTTTACTGGCTTTATACAGAAAATTAAAAGAGTGACATGCAGTTGTTCCCACACTGTAAGACATAGGTATCAGTATAATTTTAAGCTCTCAGGTGATTCCAAGGTGCAGACAAGTTGGCAATTACTGTGATAGAGAGAAACAAGGAGGCTATTTTATTTCTCTTTCTTATTTTACTAATTTATACCCCTGTGGTATTTCAGGAAGGAGGCCATTTTAAAATAGGTGGTCAGGGAGGGCTTCTCTGAGAAGGTGACATGTGAGTGAAGAACAAAGAGTGAAGGAGCCATCATTGAAAAGTTAGGGGGGAAAGCCTTTGGGAAGGTGTCTGGCCTAGGCACCTGCATACTTAGAGGTGCTTTTGACCCAAGTGTGAAAGATTGAAGGAGAAATGGGCTTAGTTTGGTGGGTTCTGAGGATGAGTGATCATGGCTGAGTGAAGACTCCTACCCCTTCTGCAGATGAGAACCTAGAGCTACTAAAACATGTGGTTCTCTGGTAGCTATGGGTGCTGGGAGGCAAACTCTACTGGTTAATCAAGGCAGGCGGATCCCCTGAGGGCAGGAGTTCACGACCAGCCTGGCCAACATGGCAAAACCCCATCTCTACTAAACATACAAAAATTAGCTGGGCATGGTGGTGTACGCCTGTAATCCCAGCTACTCAGGAGGCTGAGGCGGGAGACTTACTTGAACCCGGGAGGTGAAGGTTGCAGTGAGCTGAGATTGCGCCATTGCATTCCAGCCTAGGTGACAGAGCAAGACTCCATCTAACAAAAAACAAAAAAAACCCCAAAAAACTAGCCACTTGTGGTGGTCCTTGCTTGTGATCCCAAAGTGGGAGGCTGAGGTGGGAGGATCACTTGAGACCAGGTCAAGGCTGCAGACTGTAGTGAGCTGTGACTGCACCACTGCACTCCAGCCTGGGCGATAGAGCAAGGCCTTGTCTCAAAAAAAAAAAAAAAAAAAAAAAAAGCTCTTTTCTGGGGCCATGCCCACACAGATAATGAACCACTGGGCACCTGCCAGCTTCTGACTCCGCACTGGACGCTTCTCTGGGAACTGGTGCTTGGAGCTGGGAAATGGGGGCTGCATATTTGAGGCCAAGTACTTGGGGCTGGACTTGGGGCTGGACTTGGGTCTGGGTTCTGAGGCTGGTGACTGGGACTTGGATACTAGGGGTAGGTGCTTGGACTTGCTTTTTGGAATAACCAAGACTCCATTTCTTTACTGGCCTCTACAGATGAGCCTGCTCCCTGACCTGACTATCCTTTCTATGGCCTCACGGCACACAGCTTCACAAGTATGACCTTCCCTTGTCTCTGCTGCTGTTCCGTGGAGGCCCAGAATGAGGGAAAGAGAAGGCTGCTCTGGGCCTCTTCATGGGGACTTCCTGGGACCCCTTTTCCTCCCCCTAAGCCAGGAAGCCCATGCTCCCTCATCTTCCACTCCTCCTCCCAGCCATCTGCTTAAAGGAAGTGGCTCCCCTGTTCTTCACAGGAAGCTACAGGCGTCGGGCCTCAGTAGCCTCCAGCTACTGTTGCCCAAGCCCTTGGCTGGCCCCAACCCCTCTTTCCAGGCAGAATCTAGTGATGCCCAGTTCCCAGCATCCCCCTCTGCTGCCCAGCCAGGAAGTGCACGTTGCGGGTTCCTCTCATTAACTTTCATCCTTGTGACTCAGATCTGGTAGTGCAGGCAGTGAGCCTGGAGGTGAGACCTGACTGCAGAGAGTCCTGAGTGCTGGGCTCGGGAGTTTGGAGATCCCCAAATTGTAGGACTGAGGACTTGAAGGGGAGAGGAGGAGGTGGGCCCTACAGGGATTCTCTGATGGACCACTCTTGTGAGCTTCAGGAGCTCCTGCTGCTGAGCAAGGGCGAGGTCTATTCATTTCCGTCTCTAGTTACCCCGGTGGGGCCAGCCCTAGGCAGGGCTGTTGGTAATTGTGGAGCGCTCTAGGATGATGAAGGCTGATGGAATCCAAGATAGGACTGTACTGCCACCTGGTGGTCATACAGGCACATAGCACCATGAAATTGTGAGAGCCCCTGCCGTGGTTCAAGAGAATGGAGGGGCCTGGAAGGCCCTCAAAGAACAAGGAAATCTCTAAAGTACTTTATTTAAGAGCAAGACACTCTTAACTGGAGCACGTGAGAAGGACATTCTAGGTCTGGACGAGAGTCCAACCCCTTCCCTTCCCCATTTTACAGACTAGGAAACCGAGGTTCAGAGAAAAGTGATGAGGACATAGGACCTCTCCATTGGCAGTCAGAGATGGTATCTATTTTTGGACTCTTTTTTTTTTTGAGGCAGAGTCTTGCTCTGTCGCCCAGGCTGGAGTGCAGTGGCGCGATCTCGGCTCACTGCAACCTCCACCTCCTGGGTTCAAGCGATTCTCCTGCCTCCACCTCCCAGGTAGCTGGGACTTCAGGCACACGCCACCATGCTCAGCTAATTTTCATATTTTTAGTAGAGGCAGAGTGGAGACTAGCCCTGCTAGTTTCTAGTTACCCTCATTTCTGACCAAACATGGCATCTCCCCACACTGTCACCCACTTTAGTCACCAAAGTTGGCACTACAGAGTGGCTTTTGGCTGCTTCCAAAAATAAAATTCATCCTCAGAAAGCCAGGATCTGACAGGGCTGAGAGGACTCAGAAGCATGTGCTTCAGGCTCAGCAGATGTTTTAGAGGAGGAAGCTCTGGAGACCATGATATCTAACACCCCCACCCCTAGTTTTGAAAACAAGGAAGCAGTCCGGGCATAGTGGCTCATGCCTGTAATCCCTGCACTTTGGGAGGCTGAGGTGGGCCAATCACTTGAGTTCAGGAGACCAGCCTGGCCAATAAGGTAAAACCCCGTCTCTACTAAAGATACAAAAAATTATCTGGGCATGGTGGCACACACCTATAATCTAGCTACTCGGCAGGCTGAGACAGGATAATTGCTTGAACCTGGGAGGCAGAGGTTGCAGTGAGCCGAGATCACACCACTGCCCTTCAGCCTGGGCAACAGAGCAAGATTCTTTGTCTCAAACAACAACAACAAACAACAAAAACCCAAAAAGCAAGAAGACTGGGACCTCAAGAGAGTATATAGCTTGTCTGAGGTGACTCATCCCTGAAACTGGGCCGAGATTCAGCTCTGTGCCTCTATGAAGGCCGTTGCCAGGGAGGCATTCAGTCCGGGTGCCGTGGCTCATGCCTGTAATCCCAGCACTTTGGGAGTGAAGCTCAGGTGGATTGTCTGAGGTCAGGTATTCAAAACCAACCTGGCCAACATGGTGAAACCCCTTCCCTACTAAAACTACAAAAATTAGCTGAGGGTGGTGGCAGGTGCCTGTAATACCAGCTACTTGAGAGGCTGAGGCAGGAGAATCACCTGAACCCAGAAGGCAGAGGCTGCAGTGAGCCAAGATTGTGCCACTGCACTCCAGCCTGGACAACAGAGTGAGACTCTGTCTCAAGAAAAAATAAATAAATAAATAAAAGCGCATTGAGCACCTCTCGCCTTGCAATGTTGAATTCTGGTGTGTGTTCACCCTTCTGCCGCAGGCTGTGGTTCCTGAAAGCTGGCAAAGGTGAGGATGAGTGAAAGGAGTTGGGGGTGGGGAGGTGGTGACAGGGAAGGAAAAGAGGTGGTTCCTAATGTGTGCACCGTGAGCCCCACGTAGGTAGAAACTGGGTCCCATCCTCTGTGGTAGCCTTAGCCCCTGCTGTCACTTGCAGAATGGAGGCAAGTAGTTATCCTGTGCAGGCTGGTCCCAAGGGATCCTAGGGAAGGCGGAGTCTCCCTGCAAAGAACTGGTCATTTCCAGTATCATTCAGCCCAAAGACTGCTGAGGCCTGAGATCTAAAATCCCAGAACAGAGCTGTCCACCTCTCTTGGCCTTGATGTTATCCAAGGGAATAAGTGGAGGGGGCTTCTTCTGAAGGCAGAGACCCTAATTTGGTGCCCAACTTTGGAAGAAAAGAAGAATAGGGCCTGTGAACCCAGAGAGTAAACCCTGACTCCAAAGTCAGATGATCTAATTTCTGGTTGTCACTTGGCTGTTTCCTCTTTGTTTATGCAAGTCCTTAATCAATCATAACTGACATTTACGGAGTGCTTCCTGTGTGCTTGGGCTGTCCTTTCTTTCCTATGCAGAAGGGCTATGAACTCCATATGCAAACTGTTCTCCCTATTCTAAGAGTCCTATGAGGAAAGGGAGGCCTTGCCGAGCTCTCACAAAGCTGCTGTTACACCCTTTCCTTAGAGTGAGGGGCTGGTCTTATATTCTCCATCTGAAGATGATCACATCGTGAGAGAACGGAGACCTGGCTTCTTCATCTCTGCCTAATCAGAGAAGTAGCGGGAAGCTTCTCTCAGTGAGAACAAACTGAGTTCTGCCTCCCCAAGCACCCTGTGGAATCGAGCTTGCCCATGTAGACAGGAGTCCCTGCTAGGCAGGAGTCCAGAGGAGGGGATGTCTGAACTGAGTCTGGAAGGATGGAAGGGTGTTTTTCAGGCAGATGAGCTTCCAGAGGCATTCCGGGCAGAGAGACCAACATGCGCTAAGGCCCAGAAACAAAATTGACTGGTTGTGTTCCGGGGGCTGTGGCTGACTCGAGGGGAAATGGGAATGGGGGTGTATGGATGGCGCAGGCCACAGCCAGATTGTGCTGGGCTTCTCGATGCAGACATGACTGACAGCAAGACAAAGTGTTTTCCGGGATAACTTTATTCCGTTTTCTCATCTAGGTTTTGGGGAGACTGACAGAGAAAATTCTAGATTCTGGGAGTGGTCAGTACATGCTTGTAATCCTACTTGGGAAGTTGAGGCAGGAGGATCACTTGAGGCCAGGAGTTGGAGGCTGCAATGCGCTATGATTGCATCTGTGAAGAGTCACTGCACTCTAGCCTGGACAACATAGTGAGACCCCATCCATGAGTTCTAGGGAAAGTTCTAGATACTAACTGGCAGAGTTAGGGCAAGGTGGAAGAGGTCCTGGGAGCTGCTGGCTACTCCTCATCCTCTGTCTCCTTGCTATCTATGTACTTGTAGGTAGTGTAGCCCAGCAGGGCACCGATCTTTCCCATGATGATGCTGCTGCCACCGGCCCCTGTAAAGCAAACACACATGAGTCACTGGGGCCCAAGTGCCAGGCCTGGGAATCCAAATGTCTGGAAACCATTGTTTGAGTCCAAGCCCTCATTTCTAAATGGAGAAACAGAGACCCTGAGAGGGGATGGCACTACTGCAAAGTGCATCCCATTTTTACCCTGCCTTGACAGCCCAAATCAGAGACGTGTTTCAGTGATGAAAACGGCAAAAATAATGGCTCCTTCACGTCATGTCTGCCATGAAAACATCGTGTTATTAATCGTGCTAACAGCCTCCTCCGTGGAGCCCTCACTGTGTGGGTGGGGGGATTCACAAGACAGGGATCATATCATTTTGTCACAGCTATGTGGCATGTGAGAGGACAACTATTTTACAGCCCAGAGGTGTCCCTGGGCTCACCCCCTCTTCCCCTCCCATTGCAGGGCTGTGGCCCCCTCTGAGGAGGGCTTTCTTCTTTTGGGCTGGTTCTTTGGGCTTTTGCCATCCAGAATTGAGAGATGTGAGGTTCAGAAAGGCAGAGGGAAGTTTGTCGGGGGCAGGTTTTCTCCAGGATTTTGGAGGCCTCAGAGAGAGAGGTGGGGGTGGGAGGGAAGAGAGGAGAGAGAAGGAAGTGAGGCAATTTTTTATGAGTCACTCTGGGCAGGCACAGTGGCTCATGCTTGTAATCCTAACACTTTGGGAGGCCAAAGTGGGAGGATTGCTTGAGCCCAGGAATTCAAGACCATCCTGGGCAAAACAATAAGACCCTGTCTCTACAAAAAAAAAAAAAAAAAAAACAAATTAGCCGGTGTGGTGGCAGTATGCGCCTCTAATCCCAGCTACTTGGGAGCCTGAAGCAGGAAGAGAGCTTGAAACCGGGAGTTCGAGGCTCCTGTGAGCTGTGATCACGCACTGCATTCCTACCTGGGCAGTGTGAGACTTTGTTCTGACATAGATAAATAGATCGACAGATCGATCAATTGATAGACAGGAGAGTCACTGTGAACTCTGTATCTGTTCCCTTCATGGTGTTCAAAACATGCAAGTCAAGACCAAGGTTGGTGTGAGATTGATTTGAGTTACTCTACTGCATGTCTGTGCCACTGTGGTCTCTGAGATTGAGCGGATTCAAAAAATGTTAAACTGAGGATGATTATCCCAATGGACAGATGAGAAAACTGAGGCTTGTTGTGATTTGGCCAAAGCATCAGTGGGGCACGTAGCCTTTGAGGTTGAGAATGGGGCTCCTGGCATCATACTGACTGGGTCAGAATGTAGGCTCTAGTTTAAACTAGCAGGGAGATTTGAGCACATTACTTATTTCCTGGCCGGGTGCAGTGGCTCATGCCTGTAATCCCAGCACTTTGGGAAGTCGAGATGGGCGGATCAGCTGAGGTCAAGAGTTCAAGGCCAGCCTGGCCAACATGATGAAACCCCATCTCTACTAAAAATACAAAAATTAGCCAGGGGTGTGGTGCCATGCACCTGTAATCCCAGCTACTTGGGAGGCTGTGGCAGGAGAATCGCTTGAACCCAGGAGGCAGAGGTTGCATGAGCCGAGATCGGGACACTGCACTCCAGCCTGCATGGGTGACAGAGCCAGACTCCGTCTCAAAAATAAATAATTATTTAATTCCTAGTAAGCTACTTAATTACTTGAGTAAATTACTTCCTGAGTGCCTCAGTTTCCCCATATGTATGACGAAAATAATAGCAGTAAAGAACGTCCCACCAGGGGGCTCAGGCAGTGCACTCACCGAGGCTCTGCAGCGTGGCCACCAGACCCCCGGCTGGCACGCCGCCCCCGTTCATGATCGCAGACCAGCTCATCAGCGAGGCAGCCATCGAGTTGGCCGCGATGCCCGCGCCGGTGAAGCCCAGCGCCGGCAGCCCGGCAACCGCGAGTCCTGGAGGAACAGGAGCGGGTGAGGGAGCGCCCGCAGCAGAGGCCGGTCCCACCTGCCGGAGTTCCCCGCCCTCTAGACCCACCTCCTCCGACCGCCATGTAGGTCAGGGCCTTCCAGAACCCGGAGCCGCTGTCTTCCGAGCTCTCCGAGCGCCTTTTCTTGCCTGCAGGAGAGCGGACAAAGCGTAGTAGGGGCTTTGGGGTGGGGCGCAGGGGTCACCTATTCTGTTTCTGATGCTCAACGCTATTACAGGATGCGGGGGGCGCCGCTCTCCTACTCAGAGAGCCTCACAGAGGGGAAGGGACTTTTCCCAAGGTGCCGAGCCTGAAACAGAACTGGCATGGAATAAATTTCGGTAGGATGGAGGAATGGACAGAGTAGTGGGATTTGAATGTGGGACTCTGCGGACACCAACCCTGGGCTTTCCATTGGAATGGACGCCAGGATCTCTACGGAAGCACGCCAGGGTCTCTACATGAAACTCTTCCCTTTATCCCACACGCCGCCCATCCTCCAGCACCCCTATCTGCCTCCTTACCTGTCCCCTTACCTGCATCCTTACCCACATCCTTACCTGCCTCCTTACCTGTCCCCTTACCTGCATCCTTATTCACATCCTTACCTGCACCCTTACCTGTTCCCTTACCTTCATTCTTCCCTGCCTCCACTCCGCTGCAGGTGAAGAGCAGTAGGTAGCACAAGAAAAGCGATACCGCCTTCTGCCGCATGGTGGCGCCGCGCGCAGGCTCCGTCGCTAGACCTCGGAACAGGCGAAAGGGAGATGGGCCCCGGGGCCTTTTTGGAACTCATCAGCTCCGTGATTTTCCCTTCTAATTTGAGACGGAATCAGTAAAAAGCAGCGAGGTCCGGTGAACGGAATCCAGGACCCCTCTCGGGAGCCTAGGGAATCCGTTTCCTCTCGGCATTAGTGGCAGAGATGTCCCTGCCCCAACCGGTGGGTGTGCGGATTCTCACGGTGCCTGGCACATGGTAAGCTCCGCAGATGTCAATATCATGACTGTGGTTGTTCTTGGCCTTGTGGTTGTGTGGCCAAGTGACCTTGGACCGGATACTAGGGTACTTTGCTTCTCTGGGCTTCAGTTTATTTATAAAATTGGGGTACTAATAGAGCCTATTTGAGAGTGTAGTTGTGAATTTATAAACTGTTCCACACTGTATCCACGGCACTTAGAACACAGTACCTGATGCGTAGAATTTGCTTAAAATAATTTCTTTTCTTTTTTTTTTTTTTTCAAGATGGGGTTTCACCATGTTGGTCAGGCTGGTCTTGAACTCCCGACCTCAGGTGATCCTCCCGCCTTGGCCTCCAAAGTGCTTGGATTACAGGCATGAGTCACCACGCCCTGCCTAAAACAATTTTTTTTTTTTGAGATGGAGTTTCGCTCGTTACCCACGCTGGGGTGCAATGGCGGATCTCAGCTCACCGCAACCTCCGCCTCCTGGGTTCAGGCAATTCTCCTGCCTCAGCCTCCTGAGTAGCTGGGATTACAGGCATGCGCCACCATGCCCAGCTAATTTTTTGTATTTTTAGTAGAGAAGGAGTTTCACCATGTTGACCAGGATGGTCTCGATCTCTTGACCTCGTGATCCACCCGCCTTGGCCTCCCAAAGTGCTGGGATTACAGGTGTGAGCCACTGCGCCCGGCCAACAATTTTTTAAAAGATAAACTCATTCTTACAATGCATTGAGCGTCTACAGTCACCAAAACATTGGCCTCACATCAACTTAATTTTTTCAGAAAGAAAGCACAGAAGGGTGTGTGGAAAGAGTAAGTCAGTTTCCCTCGCTGTACAAGAGGCTTCTGACAGTGGATGTGTGGGGGTTTCTCCCCACCAGCAATCAAGCAATCAGTCCTCTGCTAAACACCAGCTGAGGGTCCTCGAAATCAATTCTGATGCCAGCTATTCATAGCTAGTGGCCAATCCCACGTGTTGAGGGTTCAGTCCCCCAAACTGTCAATCGAAAGCCCTAGGTTGTTTTACCTGTATCCCCATTTTCTCCTGTATACCTGCTTCTGACTGACTGTAAATTGGGGTTCCCACAATTCCCTCCTGGAGCTTTGTTCACTTGCTGGAGCAGCTCACAGAACTCAAGGAAACACTTTCCTTACATTTACTGGTTTCTTTCTTTTAAAAAAAAATTGGTTTTGTTGTTGTTTTAGACAGAGTCTCACTCTGTTGCTCAGGCTGAAGTGCAATTGGCTCCGTTTCAGCTCATTGCAACCTTCACCTCCCAGGCTCAAGAGGTCATCCTGCCTCAGCCTCCGGAGGAGCTGGGACCACAAGCATGCACCACCATGCCCAGCTAATTTTTTATTTTATTTTATTTTGAGATGGGGTTTTACCATGTTACCCAGGCTAGTCTTGAATGCCTTACTTAGCTCAAGCTATTTGCCTGCCTCAGCCTCCCAAAGTACTGGGATTACAGGCTTCAGCCACCGTGCCCAGACACATTTACTGGTTCTGTATAAAGGATATTACAAAGGCTACAGATGAAGAGATGCACAGGGCACGTGTGGGAGAAAGGACACCCAGTTTCCATTCCTCTCCAGAAGCACCACCCACTTGGAACCTCCCTGTATTCAGCTATCTGGAAGCTCATCAAACCCTGTCCTTTTGTGTTTTTATGGAGGCTTCATTACATAGGCACAATTGATTAGATCATTGCCCATTGGTGATCAGCTTAACCTTCAGCCCCTCTCCCCTCGCCAGAGGAACTACCAGCCGTCAGCTTATTACACAGTTATCACTTAAAAGATAGTTATCACTTTGAATTCCAAGGATTTTAGGAGTTGTATGCCAGGAACCAGGGGATGAGAATATATATTTCACAATATCACAAGGAATAAAGGTCATACAGCAAATTGTGCAGCGTGGATACACATTCAAGACTGTCAGAATTCAGAACCCTTTCCTTTATACCACAAAACTGGAAAATGCATATGCCCTCAGACTCACCCCCAGTGTAATCTTTGTCAGCACAATGCTATTTCTTATTAAAAAGAAAAACAAGAAACTCCTCTCATGTATCGAATACTTAGCACTTTTTGGCGTGAGGTCCACTTGTACCTATAACAACCCCATGAAGTAGGTACCATTGTTATCAACCAGGTGTTATAGATAAGGAAACTGAAGCTCAGAGTGGTTAAGTAATATTTCCAATGCTACCTAGCCAGGGCGTGGCAAAGTCAGGGTTTAAAACTGCAGTTGGCTAATACCCAAGCCCACATTTTCAACAGCCACTCCAGATGGTTTCATCTATCCTCAAAGATGAACTCACTGTCACATTGGATCCTATAATAAAGGGACTTCTAAAATCATGCAGTCCTTTGAGCAGGTAAGACAACTTAATCTTCCTTTTACAGAGAAAGTAATTAAGGCTCCAAGAGGTGACAAGTTTAAAGCCACAGATCATTGATGTGGCACATGTAAGCTGCATCTCATGCCTCTTGGGTTTTGTATCCCCATCTCCCTAAAATCTCCAACCCACTCTCTTAGGCAAGTCCAGCCCAGGGCACTAAAAGGGACCCAGGGGTGCTGCCTCCCTAGAGAAGGGGCCTCCCAGCTCTCAGAACATGATGCTTACAGGCAGGCAGGCAGCCTGGCAGAGGGTGGCAGCTTGATGCCCACACTTCATAGCTCCTGAGTTTACCTTGGAGGAGAGAAGAGAAGCAATCTTCCTGCCCGGAGCCTGCTGATAGATGGGCTCAGCGGCAAGTAAACGGTTCTCTGGCTGAAGGCTGGCTTTTTATCATCACTCACACATCCCCCCACATCTTACCCCAGGCAGCCAATCCCTGTCGGAGTTTCTGTTCCTGCACTGTGCAGAGTTTCATTTTCTCCTCTCTCCCAGTTCCTGCACTCTGCAGTTTCGTTTTCCCCTCCCAGATCCACCCAACAGAAGCATTTGTGTGCCGCCTGCTGGCAGAAAAATGTAATTCAAGCTGAGGACTTCTGGAGCCGCTAGGGTATTCAAAGCATATCACACGATAGTGAGAGCCACAGCCATTCTGGGTTTAGTGAAGCCTGATCACCAGTTCCTCAGGCCACAGAGGCCTTTCACCATTCATTCCAATTAATAAACAACACCTACCATTTATTGAGCACTTTCTGCATGCCACTGTCTGTGCAAAGTGCTCTATTTACGTGATCTTTTTCCAACCTCACAGTAGTCTTGTGACGTATCATATGCTGTTTATAATCCCCCAGAACTTTGGAAATTAAGTCGCTTTGTTCCATTGTTCTCTCAGGCTGACTGCTTCTGGGTCATGGGCATATGGTAAGACCAGTGAAGCCTGTGTTCATGTGGCCATCATGATACATCTTGAGTTTCAAGATGGGTCCCCTGGCCCTAGGTAATGAACTGAACATTCTTTAAAGCCTTTGGGTGGTGATGCTTGCAGAAGCACTATGGGTCAGAAATGCAATATATATTTGGAGAACATAGAAATTCCAGTAAGGATGAATCATTGCCTTCTCCCAGGGTGGAAGGAGTCTGAAATGATTGACCTGCCACCAGATGGTTGGCTATTTTCATTGAGCAATTTTGCCATATTGCTACCTGCTGCTGGTAGACTGGCTATATTTTGGCAATTGCTAAATCAGCTTTGGTGAGAGGGAGCCCAAGTTGTTGGACTCATTTCTTTTCTTTTCTTTTCTCTCTTTTTTTTAATGGAGTTTCACTCTGTCACCAGGCTGGAGTGCAGTGGCATGATCTCAGCTCACTGCAACCTCCACCTTCAGGTTCAAGTGATTCTGCTTCAGCCTCCCGAGTAGCTGAGATTACAGCCTCGCGCTACCATGCTCTACTAATTTGTTGTTGTTGTTGTATTTTTAGTAGAGTTGGGGTTTTGCCATGTTGGCCAGGCTGTTCTTGAACTCCTGACTTCGGGTGATCTGCCCACCCGGTCTCCCAAAGTGCTGAGACTACAGGGTGAGCCGCTGAGCCCAGCCTCTTTGCCGTTTTGTTGGCTTGTTTGTTTGTTAGAGACAGGGTCTCACTCTGTTACCCAGGCTGGAGTGCAGTGGTACAATCATAGCTTACTGCAGCCTCGACTTCCTAGGCTCAAGCAATCCTCCCACCTCAGCCTCCCAAGTAGCTGGGACTACAAGCATGTGCCACCACACCCAGCTAATTTTTATATTTCTTGTAGAGATGGAGGTCTCACTACATTCCCCAGGCTGGTCTCCAACTCCTGGCTTCAAGTGGTCCTTCTGCCTGGGGCTCTCAAAGTGCTGGAATTACAGGTGTGAGCCAATGCACCCAGCTTCCATCACATATTGAATTGCTGCTCTACCTTTCTGATAATACCCAACTTAGGATATATAGCTACCTGGCATCCAGTCAGATGCCTAGTCACTACTGGGTCTGGTGACACATCAGGGTCTCTTTTCCCAAAGGGACCGCAGTAAGCATAGCCTTACTCCAGAATCCTAAGAATCCTAACTGCAATTCTCCTATTTGGGCTTTCAGAGACTCTCTACAGAATCTTCCCCCAACCCCCTATGGAATCTTTATCCATCTTTCCACAGATATAGCCAGCAACATTGCATCTGTAGGATCATATAATCAGAAGTGGCAGCATAGCTTGTTTCATGGCCTGAACCTGCTACACAGCTAAGGGGAAAGAAAATAACCAAAACAACCTAATGTGCATTTTCTATGCTCTCACTCAACACAACAATCGCCACAGAAGACTTCTGTGACCAGATGTGTGGGTGGGGGGTTTTCCCACAACCCAAGCAGCAGATGCCAGCTGGGTGTCCTCCAATCCAATTTCTAAAAAAATTATTAACCTAAATATATGGAACGCTTCACAAATCTGCATATGATCCTTGCAAAGGGGCCACACTAATCTCTGAATTGTTCCAATTTTAGTATATGTGCTCCTAAAGTGAGCACTTTTTCTTCTCTTCAGACAGGTCTCACTTTGTCACCAAGGTTGGCTCAATCACGGCTCACTGAAGCCTCGACCTCCTGGGTTCAAGCGATCCTCCTGCCTCAGCATCTCGAGTAGCTGGGACTACAGGGGTGAACCATCATGCCCGGCTAATTATTGTATTTTTTGTAGAGATGGGGTGTCGCCATGTTGGCCAGGCTGGTCTTCAACTCCTGACCTCAATGGATCTGCCTGCCTCAGCCTCTCAGAGTGCTGGGATTACAGGCATAGGCCACTGCACCCAGCCTCTCATTCAATTCTGAAACTGTGGATACCTGGAGATAGAATCGGATCCTACAGGTTGAGGGATTCCTCAACACTGACCCCCAAGACATAAATCAGGGCTTCTGAAATTTCCAACTGATTGCAAGTTGGGGTTCTCATGACCTTTTCTTTTCTTTTCTTTTCTTTTTTTTTTTTTTTGAGATGGGGTGTGGCTCTGTCCCTCAGGCTGGAGTGCAGTGGCACCATCTCGGCTCAGTACAACCTCCACCTCCTGGTTCAAGTGATTCTCCTGCCTCAGCTTCCTGAGTAGCTGGGATTAAAGGCCCATGCCACCATGCCTGGCTAATTTTTGTATTTTTAGTAGAGATTAGGTTTCACCATGTTGGCCAGGCTGGTCTTGAACTCCTGACCTCAGGTGATCTACCTGCCTTGACCTCCCAAAGTGCTGGGATTACAGGCATGGGCCACTGCACCTGGCCAAAACTCCTGTATTTAATGTCTGCCATCAGGTCCTTCCTGCAATATGTGGGAATTATGGGAGCTACAAGATGAGATCTGGGTGGGGACACAGAGCCAAACCATATCATTCTGCCCCCGGCCCCTCCCAAATCTCATATCTTTACATTTCAAAACCAATCATGCCTTCCCAACAGTCCCCCAAAGTCTCAACTCATTTCATCATTAACTCAGAAGTCCACAGTCCAAAGTCTCATCCTAGACAAGGCAAGTGCCTTCCACCTATGAGCCTGTAAAATCAAAAGCAAGTTAGTTACTCCCTAGATACAATGGGGGTACAGGCATTGGGTAAATACAGCCATTCCACATTGGACAAAACAGAAGAGCTCAGGCCCCATACAAGTCCGAAATCCAGTGGGGCAGTCAAATCTTAAAGCTCCAAAATGGGGCCGGGCGTGGTGGCTCACGGCTGTAATCCCAGCACTTTGGGAGGCTGAGGTGGGTAGATCACAAGGTCAAGAGATTGAGACCATCCTGGTCAACATGGTGAAACCCCATCTCTACTAAAAATACAAAAAATTAGCTGGGCACGGTGGCATGTGCCTGTAATCCCAGCTACTCAGGAGGCTGAGGTGGGAGAATTGCCTGAACCCAGGAGGTGGTTGCGGGTGAGCCGAGATCACGCCATTGGACTCCAGCCTGGGTAACAAAAGCGAAACTCCGTCTCAAAAAAAAAAAAAGCTCCAAAATGATCTCCTGTGACTCCATGTCTCACATTCAGGTCATACTGATGCAAGAGGTAGATTCCCATAGTCTTGGGCAGCTCCGCTCCTGTGGTTTTGCAAGGTACAGTCTCCCTCACAGCTGCTTTCATGGGATGGTGTTAAGTGTCTATAGCTTTTCTGGCTGTACAATGCAAGGTGTCAGTGGATCTACAGTTCTGGGTCTAGAGGATGATGTCCCTCTTTTCATAGCTCCACGAGGCAGCATCACAGTAGGGACTCTGTGTGGGGGCTCCCACCCACATTTCCCTTCTGTGCTGCCCTAGCAGAGCTTCTCCATGAGGACCCTGCCCCATAGCAAACTTCTGCCTGGGCATCTAGGCATTTCCATATTCTGAAATCTAGGTGGAGGTTCCCAAACCTCAGTTCTTGAGTTCTGCACATTTACAGGCTCAACACCAACTGGAAGCTGCCAAGACTTGACGATTACATCCTCTGAAGCCACAGCTGGAGTGGCTGGGATGCAGGGCACCAAGTTCCTAGGCTGCACACAGCATGGGCACCCTGGGTCTGGCCCATGAAATCACTTTTTCCTCCTAGGCCTCCAGGCCTGTGATGGGAAGGGTGGCCACAAAGGTCTCTGACATGCCCTGGAGACATTTTTCCCATTGTCTTGGTGATTAACATTCAACTTCTTGTTACTTATGCAAATTTCTGCAGCCAGCTTGAATTTCTCTCAGAAAATGGGATTTTCTTTTCTATTGCATTGTCAGGCTGCAAATTTTCCAAACTTTAATGCACTCCTCACTTTTTTTTTTACAGTGTTTCCCTTTTGAAACAGAATGCCTTCAATAGTACCCAAGTCACATCTTGAATACTTTGCTGCTTAGAAATTTCTTCCACCAGATACCCTAAATCATCTCTCTCAAGTTCAAATCTTTCACAGATCTCTAAGGCAGGGGCAAAATTCCACCAGTCTCTTTACTAAAACATAACAAGAGTCACCTTTGTTTTAGTTCCCAAAAAGTTCCTCATTTTCATTTAAGACCGCCTCAGCCTGGACCTTACTGTTCATATCACTAACAACATTTTAGTGAAAGACATTAAACAAGTCTCTAGGAAGTTCCAAACTTTACCTCATTTTCCTGTCTTCTTCTGAGCCCTCCAAACTGTTCCAACCTCTACCTGCTACCCAGTTCCAAAGTAGCTTCCACATTTTCGGGTATCTTTTCAGCAGTGCCCCACTCCTGGTACCAATTTACTGTATTAGTCCATTTTCATGTTGCTGATAAAGACATACCCAAGACTGGGCAATTTACAAAAGAAAGAAGTTTAATGGAGTTACAGTTCCACATGGCTGGGAGGCCTCACATTCATGGTGGAAGGCAAGGAGAAGCAAGTCACATCTTACGTGGATGGTGGTAGGCAAACAGAGAGAGTTTGTGTAGAGAAACTCCCATTTTTAAAAACCATCAGATCTCATGAGACCCATTCACTATCATGATACTAGCATGGAAAAGACCTGCCCCCATGATTCAATCATCTGCCACCAGGTGCCTCCCACAACATGTGGGAAATATGGGAGCTACAAGATGAGATTTGGGTGGGGACACAGAGCCAAACCATATTATATGCTAATTTTTTATTTTTTGTAGAGACAGGGTCTCGTTTTGTTTCCCAGGCTGATCTCAAACTTCTGGCCTTAAGCAATCCTCCCACCTTGGCCTCCCAAAGTGCTGGGATTACAAGTGTGAGCCACCATGCCCAGCCTTACATTTTTCATTCAAGATTGGTGCATAGGTACAGCTATTTGATTGGTTTTAGGCAGTGTTTCTTTTTGGGAAGTGTGCATCTAACATTTTTTACAGAGGGTGTGATAGTCTTGGGTTTTCTACTATCTGATATAAGCAAAGCAGGACAATGAAGGGGAAGTTAATTGACAAAAAGGGCTATTCATTAAGAAGGTGGGTGGGTTTTATCCCTGACATCATGTAATTCTCTCTAGTCATTGTACAGAATAAGACAAATAAGAAAGCGAGTTAATCTATAATCTGAGAAACAGAAGTAGTAACGACATGTGATTGGAATCACAGTTACATCTCTCTCAAAGCTTAAGGTGTTTGTGGGGTTCCAACAAGGTTTACTTTTTATTTATTTTCACACTTCTTTGATCAACAGGGCAGCCTTCCAAACAGGATGTTGTCCATTCACCTTGGATCTGCCATCCACAAACCAAGCTGTTTGCTGGCCAGTTGAGAGTTGTTATGGGGTACTGTAGAAGCCAGCAGCTCCTCACACAACTTGGTCCTAGCAGAAAAGAGGCTCCCTTCTTGTATCTCCTCCTGGTACTCCCCAGGTAGCATGCTCCTTATACCCTATTTCCATTTTATTATGAAACTCTTCTGGTCATTGTTGTCCCCATTTGAGTGTTTCTGTGACATCACCTATAATGGCATGGGTATTACAGGTGTCAGGATCATTTTATGTCCTTCAGTCACAGGGGTAGATTCAGTTAATGCCCCATAACAAGTTAGTAAGTGCCCCTCAAGTGGAAATTGTCTAGTCCAAAATCTCAGTAGTCAGTAGTCTTTGCTCGCAGGTGCTCACAGGCCTTTTTTTTTTTTTCTTTTTCTTTTTTGAGATAGTCTTGCTCTGTCGCCCAGGCTGGAGTTCAGTGGTGCCATCTCTGGTCACTGCAACCTCCGCCTCCAGGGCTCAAGCCATTCTCCTGCCTCAACTTCCTGAGTAGCTGGGATTACAGGTGCCCACCACCACACCCAGCTAATTTTTGAGTTTTTAGTAGAGATGGGGTTTCGCCATGTTGGCCAAGCTGGTTTCGAACCCCTAACCTCAAATGATCCTCCTGCCTCGTCCTCTCAAATTGCTGGGATTACAGGCATGAGCCACCATGCCTGGCTGCTCAGGGGCTTTTGTGATAGCCCCAGTAAATGCTCCACAGAGAGCTATCAAATGGAGAATTTGTCCCTATCAGCACTCCAGCTTCTACTCTACAGCGTGAGCTTGGGTTTCCATTTAGCTTGTCCAACTAAAATGGCCAGAAGGGAGCATTCACACGCCTTCTGCTTTACAGTTTTAGGTCGGGGGAACAACCCTATTGTTTTCAGTGCTGATTTCCATAAACATTTAGGTAAAGAAGACACAGCCACTTTATGTAAAGCCTGTTTAGGCATTCCACTTTCAGAATCCTATTGACCAGTACATTTTTTTTTTTTTTTAGACGGGGTTTCGCTCTTGTTACCCAGGCTGGAGTGCAATGGCGCGATCTCGGCTCACCGCAACCTCCGCCTCCTGGGTTCAGGCAATTCTCCTGCCTCAGCCTCCTGAGTAGCTGGGACTACAGGCACGCGCCACCACGCCCAGCTAATTTTTTGTACTTTTAGTAGAGACAGGGTTTCACCATGTTGACCAGGATGGTCTCAATCTCTTGACCTCGGGATCCACCCGCCTCGGTCTCCCAAAGTGGCCAGTACATTTTTATGTTATGGCAACTTCTCTTCACCCACTCCCCAGACCATTTTATTCTCTTTTGAACAGTAAGT